CGAGGCGCAACGAACAAGCCACAACAGAGATAGGGGACAATAGAGTTGAGGCCGGTCAATGTTACTAGACCTGTGTGCAGAGATTACCTGATCAATAAAGTAATCCCTGCCATTCAAGACAAATGGCCTGACGGTGACGAGGACACAGCGATCTTCATTCAACAAGATAATGCAACACCGCATGTCCTCCCTAGTGATGCTGGTTTTCTAGAAGCCGTGGCACAGATAGATCTGGATATTCGACTATTGCAACAACCACCGAATAGCCCTGAGCTCAATGTTCTAGATCTTTATTTCCACTGCTCCCTCCAATCCCTAACCGACTGCAGAGCGCCTATGAATATACAGGAACTGGTATAGGGTGTAGAGGAGGAGTTTGAGAACTACGATGCCCATAAGCTGTTCAAAAGCTTTATGATGTTTGCAAGCAGTCATGGTGGAAGTGATGAAAGATCAAGGAGGAAACAATTACAAGATGCCGCATCTGCATAAGGAACATCTACAGAATGCCAGAGAGGAAATAATCGGTGTATACTGCAGTCCTGAGCTAATTACTGACAACAAGGCCATTATAGAACAAGGAAATGAGTAGTTAGAGAGAGGAAAAAAGAAAGGGAAAGGGAAAAGGAAAAGAAAGGATAGGAGTATGTGATGTGTCATGTGTCATGTGTATGTATTGTGTCATGTGTATGGCTTGTGTCATGTGTTCAATGAGAAAGGATAGAAGTATTTGGATTTATTTGAATTTAGTTAAAATGACAACAGTTTTCAGTTTTCAGTTTTGGCAACAGTATAACATATTGTCAGTTTTCACAGTGTGTGTGGTTGCTGTGGAGCAAACTACACACATTTATTTTCTACTCCAGCAGATGTTCTGGAACATTTATTCCCACCTCCACCACCATCTTGTCAATTTGACAGTGTGTGTATGGAGTAGTTTTGACAGCAGTATAACCACTCATTCAAAATGAGGAACAACAAATTACTCTAGTAATGCTCCAATAGTATCATTCTGATGTATGTCAATCAGTATCTTATTCTAAACAATCTTGGATTTATTTACAATAGTAATTCCGATTCGCTTAATTCTGTCTGGGAGCTACAGCCAAGAGTAATTTGATGGAGTAAGAAAAATTTGATGGTAGGTTAGCTACAACCAAGAGTAATTTGATTCGGTGTACAAACAGAAAAACGCCAAGACTGTATCTAATTTGATTAAGTGTTAAGAACTTGAGCTCCTTACCGAAAACATAATGTACAACAGTTTGGCCACGAGTTTGAAATCACATGAATATTTTGACACTATACACTTATTTCTCGAAATGGTGCCATGGCAGCCATTTCTATTGCTTCATGCCAGTACAACAATCAAGGATTGAAAACTCAGTACACTGTGTACTCCAATTTTTCTACTCCTGTCAGTCCAACAATGCAAAATGTTCAATTCCTGGAAGTAGAATGATAAAATGTGTGGTTCTGAACTCGAAAATTATTCAGGTGTGTTTTCTTTTCTTTTTTCAGTTTCAGCAGAACTTGAATCTAGCAGTCTGAAGCATTTTGAAACAATGACAAAACACTTGATTGCAGTCTGAAACAATGACAAAATTACTTGCCACATCATGAAACAAATGACAAAATTACTTGAAAAGGAGTACTCCATTTATCTACCTCTGTCATGAAAGGAGCACTAGACAGCAGCAGTAGTACACTAAGTACTGTCGGCTGCCCTCTAACTAATTCATTCATGGATGATTTTAATCACTGACTCATCCTGCTAGATCCATCACTAAAACTAATTAGTAATTTAATTTATCTGACATTTGCTAGTTGAGAATAAATGTTCACTCTTATCTCACATTTGCTAGTTGAAATGCATAAACTCAGTTGTTCAAGTTTCAGTCTAAGCTAGAATTTCTAGTTTACACACAGATGTTGTCAGGCCAAGTGTGATGCCCTAGTGAGACTGAGGTTGCAGCCAATTAGGTAAAAATAGGATGAGCTGCTGAAGAAATTAGCCAATTAGCCCATTGTGTCCCCAAGTGTGATCCCCTAGTTACACACAGATGTGGTCAGGCCAAGTGTGATCCCCTAGTGAGATTTGTCTGCCATGGTTTGCTAACTGAAGAAATACCAGTTGGCCGGCATGCAGTCTTAAGCAAATGTCAGAAGCAGCAAATTTCAGTAAAAAAATCAGTTTTGACTCATAAATCATGGAGGGGAATTGAAGGAGGGAAGCTTAACCTGCCAAGAAGACGCCGCCGTCGTCGTCGAGCTCGCAGTACAGTATGTGCTGGGATGGTGGAGCTCGCAGTACAGAAGACGTCTCCGCCCCCATCGAGCTCGCAAGCTCGACGGGCTCGTCGGCTACGTCTCTCGCCGTCTGGCCTTGCAGCCACCATATCAACCTCGCCGGCGCCGGATCTGAAGCAGCCGGAGCAGAGCGCGAAGGTCACTAGGGAGGGGGGAAGCTAGGAGAGGAAGGCAAGCTGGAGCTGCGCGAGCAGGAGAGAGCGGCGGAGGAGGCAGTTGCGGCGGCGGTGAGCTGTGGCGGTGGTGGGCGGGGCAGCTGCAGCTTCTGTTGGAGGAGGTCGGAAAAATCGAGGCTTCTCCTCGCTCGGGGAAGCAACGCAGCGGAGGAAGAGGGGAACAAGGAGGGAGAGCAGAGCAGGGAGCTGCGCGGGGAATCTCCGGCGACGCCGAGCAGAGGGCTCTGGCAAGGGAGAGGAGCAGGGGGAACCGGCGGGGAGAGGAGCGGGGGTGGGGGAGTGCGTCGTTTGTCAGGAATACAGTGAGGGGATTTTCGCAAAATTACCACGGAGACAACTTTTCCCAGACAAAGGGAGTATTAGTTTTATTCGGTGATTTGAATAAGGGGGAACATCCGCCGCCTTAGTAGCCGTACGATCGTTAGCAAGCCAATTGTCTGATCTTTTTTCATTGAGCGTGCATCAACCTTTGCAACAAAGCTTGTGTTGCGCTTCTGCCGAATTTTTTTTTTCTGAAACAAGGCCTGTGTTTCAAAAACAAGATTTCTGTTATAGAAAAAAACCTTTGCTCTTGCCCCGTTGCAACAAACGTAGTGTTGTGCGCTCGTTCCCTTGGCAACAAGAGGCCTGTTGCACAAACAAAAAAATCCCCCTCACACCAATGTCATCAAATGTCTAACGGGCATTTTAACATTTTCAATATAGATTATGTTGTAGAATTTTTTGTAACAAAGAGCATGTTGCAGAAACGTCTGTAGATTTTTTCTGCAACAGAGTTTGTTATATAATATTTTTCGTAACAAAGATCGTGTTGCGGAACATCTATAGAATTTTATTTGCAGCAGAGTTTGTTATAGAAATATTTTCTGCAACAAAGATCATAGGTGATGTTGCAGAAATATTTGCAACACATATACTATTGTAAAAATATTTGTAACAGAAGTTGTGTTGCGGAAAATATTTGTAACATAGGTCATGTTGCAGAAATATTTTTGGGCTTCGCTTTGTTGCAAAATTAGACCCTCGTAAACAATTGCAACATCACATTTGTTTCTGAACACATAGCCTTTGTTTCGAAAGCGTGTTCGATAAAGGACGACATGCAAGCCTTCATTTGAACGCGTGTCATGCAGCAGAGGTGGCGGACGCGGCCACTACGATCCGCCGGATGACGGTAAGCTTTTCCCTTTGAATAATTATTGTAATTTGGATTCATAATATTCACATTTTATGTTATTTGAATTCATATTACTGTGTAAATTATGCGTCAAATTCATAAAAAACCACACGTTTTGCAGGCTGCAGCCGAACAAACCCCGCATCTGTTCCGCTACGGGCAGTATGTTCGGCTGCTGTAATCGCGTATAAGGGTCAGCGATACAAGGGTTCAGCAAATCGCGTTTTGTGTATATACTGGTTTAGTTCAAGTCGTCTTGTGGTTTGGCGCTATGCCGTTGGGGTTTCTGCCGCCGGTGCTTGCGAGCAGCTGCCGGTGGTTGCCGTCCTTGTCTTCTTCTTCGTCTCCATGGTGGAGGAAGGGAGGAGGCGCTGGATCTGGCGAAATCCCTCTCAATAAGCTCGCGGGTCTCTCAGATCTGCAGCTCAAGCTCCTTCTTCCCCACTTCTCCTCAAGCTGCCATGGAGGTGGACTGAAAGAAGAGGAAGAAAGGGGATTTGGCTGCTCTATCCTCTCTGCATGTCCTTGAAGCCCAAGTTTTGCAGCAAATGGTTGGGGATCTTGGTGCAGAGAGCACCAGGAGGTTCTTACCACTGCGCCGCTGTATCTGCTGGTCGAAAGGCGACCACTCGGAGTTCTGGCGACGACGTCCGGCTCCTGTATTTCCTCCTGGCCGCCGAGCCATATGGGAGGCAGTTTATCTGGTTCTTTGTCCTGGTATTTCCATGGTCTACCTCCGGTTGTTTGCCGGCGGTGCTGTAGCCATTCCTTCACCCCAAGTGGTTTCGTCCCCGGTGGTGGTGGGATCGGGCCAGGATCGAAGACGGCGAAGAGGACTCGATTGCTTTTCATTTTTGTTGTCTGGGGTCCTATCTGCAAAATGTCCGGCCTGGGTTGTAATTTTCTCTTTCTGTTGGGCCTTTCTGTAATATGTTGCATGCTTATCTAGTATAAGTCTGGGTCCTTCGGGGCCCTTCTTGTGTTCAAAAAAAAAAAGGTACACTAGGCTGAGAGCTGTGTTGCTGATATGACGGTACCAAAACACAGGCAGCTCGCATTTCTTGATTGCGTATATAGTTGTCAATTTGCAAACGAGTTGCCTTGCCAAATACAGTATACCGGAAAAGTTCACAGCATCTGGAGCTACAAAATCGGTTTGGTCCCACTGTTCCAAAAAAAAAAATCAAGCACAAAGTTTCTGTATCTTGGAACAGTTCTCTGGAAATGATAGAGGCACAACAAATCCAAAATTGACAGCTAAAAAAATAATATTGCCGGTATCATTTTCCCTCAAATTTTAGTAACATCTTAAATAGAGCACAAGAAAATGTCAGGGACTATGATTCTTCATTCTTGGCCACCAATCTAATGTTCTTCCCGTCCACAGAAAACCTGGAGCTCGAAGCTATCTACAATAAACGAAACAGTACAAATGCATCACTGAGCAAGAGTCCAATCTAGGAGAAAATAGGTACTCCCACCGTCCCGAATTACTTGTCGCTCAAACGGATGTATCTAGCACTGAAATACATCTAGATACATCCATTTGAGCGACAAGTAATTCCAGACAGAGCAAGTATTTAACTGCAATTTTATCTTTCATGCTAATTACCTTGTCCATCAACAGAGCATGCAGCTGTTCCTTATCTTTCAACAGACCACATTCTAAAACTTCCCTGATAACTAGCTTTTGTAGCTTCTTTAACTTCATAGCTCCATCCGAATTCTGTAAGAAAACATCAGCTTAACTGTAACACCAGGTAGGAACAGAAAATTGACAAAAGCAACATCGAATATAGCTTTACCATCTCTAGTATCTTCGTAATAATTTTCTTCCACTTGATTTTCTGCTTCTTAATATCTTGATGATTGGCATCATTGACCAGTTCTTCTGCAGCACTTTTGCTCTTTGTTTTGAGTTCCGCTTCTCCATTTTCAGATTGTGTCGCCTCTCCAGTCTTCAAGTTCGATAAATTTTGTCTTTTTGCATTATCTGGCTCCTCCGAGGTTGTGCTATCTGTTCTCTTTCTCTTCACAACATCCTCGTCAGCATCTCTTTCACTGTCAGCACCCTTCCCGTCATTTAGTTCTGTAGATGCTGTTGTTGGTGCTCCACCAGTTTCCTTGTCGCTTGGAGTTTGTTCAGCTCCATTTTCTTGCTTCTGAGAAGCATGAAAGGCTTTTGCTTTTGCCCTATGTTTCCTGCCATCAGCATGCCCCAAGAGAGTTTGCTTGCTGGTGGTAGTTGTATTGCATAGGCTGAGATGCAAACCCAGGATAGTTATGTTAGAAGGCATGTTAGTGAAAACTGAGACTGCTTAAGCTGAAATGACCTGACTTCATGGTCAAAAAAGGGATTGATTACTTATCTAAACAGCAAGGACATGAGTGCTCTACACATTTGAAGTTTCCATAACGAAAAGATCCCCAAACTAGGGCGATCATGAAAGGCATTTGCTAATACAATCAATCAACAAAATATAATAAAGAAGTTTGACAGCTTGGGACTTATAAAACTTTCAACATTGCCTTATTTTGGTATGTTCCTATAGGGGCACCGCGTTATTATGCATCAGGCTCACCGCTCATGTATTTCAGAAATGTTCCAGTCAGGCTGTTCGTGAATGGTGACAACAGTACACAACAAACCCAAGTTATGAACATTAATTAAGCATAATATAAACTTCAACGATTTCAAATATATTAGTTCAGAGATGCAAATATGGAGCATGGTTTTACTACAGAACCTGCAAATACAATTGTATATATACTGAGGATCATGTTAGCATACCTGCAGAACCAAGGAGGGCGTGTCGACAACCCAACATTGATATCAACATCGGCATTTGGCTTTGGCTTGTCTGGCTTACCCTGTGCATTGCTGGACGGCTTGTTCAGTTCCTTGGGACCATACTTCTCCTGAAATGACAATAGATCAGAGAAATGAGTACCCACAGGACCGATAATTAACTAGCATTTGTTCCAATGTCTCTTACAGAGAACGCACTCTGAACAACCCATTCAAAATACTGATTTGTGCCCTGAACTAACCCTTCCGTGGTTTACAAACTGGGGATCCAGACAGGCCGACACAACAATTCACATTAAGAAACCTAAGCTAAAAATATACGTATATTAAAAGGCACACTTAATCGCCCCCAAAGGCTGCAACCTTACACGCCAATTATCCCAATCCAGCAACCAAAAAATACATGTTATCCAAATTGCACGGCCATACATGTCACGCTTCATCCGAATCCTATAAGAGAAAAGTAAATTTCATAACAGGGAGAGAAGCGATGGAACTCACGGCCTCGGAGATGCACTGGGTGTGCGTCTGGACGGTGTCCTGGCCGAAGACTGCGCCGCAGTCGATGCAGGAAAGCTGCACAAAACCAAACCAAACAGTCGCACAATCGAATGTCAGTATCCCAATAAGCAAGCTAAATCCACGCGAGGGGAGTAGAGACGGGAGAGAGAGACGGCGCGTCACCTTGTAGGCGGAGCATGAGCGGAAGTGGCCGGCAAGCTTGGGCTTCTTGAGGTTCTCGCCGCAGTCTTCGCACTGAAACCAAACCATTGCGGCGTTCCGGAGGTTTCCGGAATGCGTCTCGGGGCCGGACCGGCAAGGTGCATGCGCTAGGGTTTTTGGCTGCGGGGAGGCGATGCGAGGCAAGAAGAGGTGAAGGGCGCAATCCAGGGTTTCCCCTGCGGCTGGGGGCTGGACCATTCATTCTTCCGGGGGAATGGCCCAAGGGCCCTCTACGATCCATCTTGGGCTGGGCTTTCGCGAGCTAGTCAAGTCTATTTATCAAACACTAGCTATATCTCAAAACTTGCCTAAAAAAACTACGTCTCAAAATTGTCTCAAAAAAAACTATGTCTAAAAAAAAGTATGTCTCAAAACAATTCTTTAAAAAAAATACTACTCCCTCTGTCCCAAAATAACTGTCTTAAGCTTAGTACAACTTTGTACTAGAGCTAGTACAAATTTGAGACACTTATTTTGGGACGGAGGGAGTATGTCTCAAAATCCCTCAAAAAAAGAAAACTATGTCTCAGAAAATAATAATCAAACACTAGCTCCAAAGGCCTATTCAGAACTCCCCAGGTTTCTTCTTAAGTGGTTGTTTGGATGAGGTCGATGTCGATGCTAGGCATCAGCCGATCGGCGCCAGCCCCCAACCAATCCCGTCAGAAACGTCTGATCAGGCAAAATGGCTTTATCCTCCTCGCATCGTGTAAACGAGATGGAGACCCCCCCACCCCGCTTCCTTCCTTCGTCGGCCCAGCCGCGTTCCTCGCTTCCTTTCATGATAAGCGTCAGTGGGCTCGCCACCCGCCCCACTTGCATCACTGGATAGTCGCCCACACTATGTCATCGTGAGTGCTAGTTGCACTCTCTCCAGTCGGTTGCAACGCCGTGTCTCGTCGGGTCCAGCACCGCCCTGTTCCAGCACACAACGAGCCGACCGCAGCATCGATTGGCGCAAATTCCCACACCTGTCCGAGCACTACCCCATCGTCGGTCACAGCCCCAACGTCGCCCTTGGGGTTGCAGCTGTTGGAAATATGCCCTAGAGGCAATAATAAAATGGTTATTAATATATTTCCTTGTTCATGATAATTGTCTATTGTTCATGCTATAATTGTATTAACCGGAAACCGTAATACATGTGTGAATACATAGACCACAACATGTCCCTAGTGAGCCTCTAGTTGACTAGCTCGTTGATCAATAGATGGTTATGGTTTCCTCACCATGGACATTGGATGTCATTGATAACGGGATCACATCATTAGGAGAATGATGTGATGGACAAGACCCAATCCTAAGCATAGCACAAGATCGTGTAGTTCATTTGCTAAAAGCTTTTCTAATGTCAATTATCATTTCCTTAGACCATGAGATTGTGCAACTCCCGGATACCATAGGAATGCTTTGGGTGTGCCAAACGTCGCAACGTAACTGGGTGGCTGTAAAGGTATACTACAGGTATCTCCGAAAGTGTATGTTGGGTTGGCACGAATCGAGACTGGGATTTGTCACTCCATATGAAGGAGAGGTATCTCTGGGCCCACTCGGTAATGCATCATCATAATGAGCTCAATGCGACTAATTAGTTAGTCACGGGATCATGCATTACAAAACGAGTAAAGTGACTTGCCGGTAACGAGATTGAACGAGGTATTGGGATACCAACGATCGAATCTCGGGCAAGTAACGTACCGATTGACAAAGGGAATTGTATACGGGATTGCTTGAATCCCTGACATCGTGGTTCATCCGATGAGATCACTGTGGAACATGTGGGAGCCAACATGGGTATCCAGATCCCGCTGTTGGTTATTGGCCGGAGAGCTGTCTCGGTCATGTCTACATGCCTCCCGAACCCGTAGGGTCTACACACTTAAGGTTCGATGACGCTAGGGTTATAGGGAAAGTTTGTATGTGGTTACCGAATGTTGTTCCGAGTCCCGGATGAGATCCCGGACGCCGCGAGGAGTTCCGGAATGGTCCGGATGTAAAGAATAATATATAGGAAGTGAGGTTTTGGCCACCAGAAGTGTTTAAGGCGTCACCGGTAATGTACCGGGACCACCGGAGAGTTTCGGGGGTCCACCGGGAGGGGCCACCAGCCCCGGAGGCTTGCATGGGCCAAGAGTTGGAAGGGACCAGCCCCTGAGTGGGCTGATGTGCCTCCCACCAAGGCCCAAGGTGCAACAAAGAGGAGAGGGGGAAACCCTAGGCGCAGATGGGCCTAAGGCCCACCCTAGGGCGCGCTCCCCTCTCTCCCCCTCTTGGTCGCCCCCTCCATCCCATCTAGGGTTGCCGCCCCCTAGGGATGGGAACCCTAGAGGGGGCGCACCCTCCTCCCCTCCTCCTATATATAGGGGGGGTTT